TGAGCACTGCGGCTGCCGAAGACCTCTCCACGCGCGGCTTCCACCTAAGAGAAAAGTGGCCAGCCCTGGCTCGTGGCACAAGGGTGGCCTCTGCAGGGGGGCAACAGGCTAACCCAGGACAGCCTGCCCTCCTGGGTGCCAGGCAGCATAGGCACGTAGAGGGTCTGACACCACCTGGTACCCGGAGACACCACCTGGCGCTCACAGACGCCTCAGCCCCTCGCTGCTCTGTGCTGCACTGCGCCACGGCCTCCTCCCACACGGCCGGGAAGGGGGCTCCTGGGGCCTGCGCTCTCACCGCTGCCCCATGTGTTTGCAAGAACCCTCCCAGGGAACCCCAGTCTCTGACGCCAGCAGTTGAACCACCTGAGCCACCTCCAGGCCCACGGGCACTGCTGGCTAGACCGAGTGCCAAGGAGCGGGGCAGGTTCACTGTGAACCTGCTCGGCAGCCCGGTGGGCGGGAGCAGCGAAGCTCCCCACCAAGTCGGCCGCTAAGGGCTGTCACTGCAGTGAGCACACGTCTGCCGCCTCACCGTGGACCCGGTGCACACCCGCACCCCTCCTACCCAAGGACACACACGTCCTCATGACCCAGCCTCGCTATTCCAGGCTGTTCAAACGCCAAGAAAAACGGTGACACCAAAGGGCTCCAAAAGAGAGCTCTCCTCCGTCACTGGCCGTGCAGCTCAGGGCTTCCAGGCTGGAGGACAGGAGAAACTGCCGGGCTGGGCTCCAAGGGGAGACCCTGGAGGCCTTGCCAGTCTGTCCCGCCTAGAGGGCAGTCCCCTGGTTAGGGAATGGGCCCCCTGCGATCCAGTCCGAGACACAAAACAGGCAGCCGGAGGGAGCAGGGCTCTCTGTGTCTGCCCACCCCATGGGGGCATCTCTAGCGAAGGCTGCGTGCTCTCTCGGAAGCCCATGATGCTCCGGTAAGGCAGAAGGCCCCTGCTCCAAGCCCGCCCTGTCAGAACCACTTCGCCAAAGCCCATTCTCAAAACTTAACCTCGGCACCCAAGACCTCCTCCCTCCAAGAGCCAGGCATGGCCTGCACTGAGCAAGCCTGTCCCAGAGAACCCAGCCTGGCACTGGTGTGGCTCCTCCACACGCCCCGCACCAGGTCAGGCTCCGCATGTCCCCCTCCACAGGGCTCACGGACGCCCATGGTCACCACGGGCGAGTCAACAACATGTAATGCACACCAAGCTCCTAAAATAGAAGACGTTTCCTAACTCACAGCGAGAGCATTTCCAAGAACGTCTTGGGCAAGAGGTGACGAGGCCCGGCCGCTGTTCCTGTAATGGGCTCGTCCCTCCCCTACCGATGGCCACGTCAGAGCCCCCTGACTGCCTTGTGCACAGCTCCATCAGCAGTGCCGCCCCCCAGGCCGCCGGCCTGATGGCTCTGCCCCATGGCTCACCCACCCAGGGGCTCCCGCAAACAGCGAGCCCTCCCTCTGCCTCGGCGCTAAGGGCCCTTCGCACACAGCCCTGGGCTCCGCCTCCCCACCCAGTGCTCCTGCACACCACGGGGCCCGGGTACAAATGCTCCCGCCTCGGCCCAGATACCAGAGCTTCCTCCACTGGCCGTTGCTGGTTTTGTGGTGACAAGATCGGCCTCTGAACCAGTCTGCTCAGTGGGACAGGCCACAGTGCCATGTGGGAGGCTGCACAGCTGTGAGGAGCACGGGTCGGGCTGATCTGCATCCTCCTCCACTGACTGTCCACCAGGGCACCCAGGCCACAGGGTGGCGGGGAAGGTGGAGAGCCTGGAGCCGCCCACGAGCATGCCTTCTCTGCAGAATCTGCCGAAACACCAGATGGTTCTCTCGCCAGGCGATCGAGGGGGTCGGCGGCACCCGCCACTGCCTTCCTTATAGGTCCCTGCTGCATCCCTTTCTCCCACTACCTAGCCCACATCTGTCTGCCTACTGTCTGTGGGCTTAGGCTTTAGACGTGAAAAGAACGCGACCAGGCCAGTAGTGGCTAAGGGGGCTGGATCCCACATGGCCGACTACACGGTTAGGATCCCGGGTCAGGCAGCTGTTAAAACATACCAGACACACGTGTGCCCCAAATCCTGAGAATGGAGATGGGGTTGTGGCACAGGCACCCCCAGGAGTGACGTCTCATCCCCTGCCCCCACTCTCTGGTGAGTGCACACCGTACAGGAACCACCCCCAACACAAAGAACAAGATACCTAGCACCCCGCCCGAGCACCCACCCCATCCCGGGGGCGCTGCCGCCCCAGGAAGTGTGGCCTGTACCTGCTGCCGGTCCTTCCCTCTTCCCGGCCACCTCTGCCTCCCTCATCCTCTGCCCTCTCCCCAGGCTGGCCTCAGGTCAGTGCTCAGGACAGAGGCCGCTCTCGTCTCCCATTTTCTGACCGCACTGATGAGGCTTGAGATGACCCAGCATCCCTGTCATCTTCCTGATGCCACGATCTCTCTCCATCCAAAGAAATAAGAGGCAATGCTCTGCCACTGACCCACGTGGCACCGGCTGGGACCTCAGCTGGGGATCCCCAGAGCACACCGGGCGTGGCGGAGCCATGCTTCAGGGCTGGCTGGGGCTGCGGGAGGCTCGCAGCGTGGAGACCCTGCTGGGGTGCTGTCTGGCTCAGTCTCTCGTGCGTGGAAGGAAGAAGTACGCTTTACAAAGTGGAAGGAACTACTGTAAGTGTCCAGACCCCAGGGCGCACCCTTTGACAAGGCCAGAAGGGGCAGCATGAGAAAGCCCCGCCTGGCCGAGGTGCTGGAGGCACTGGGGGGCTGCTGGGGCCCAGGTCCCTGCGCCCCTCACGGCCGGGGCAGCCAGGATTAACACTCCTCCACATGAGCTCACCAAGTCAGGTCTGAGCCACCAGTCTGTGCCTGGGACAGCTAGGGAGGGCTCAGGAAGCCCTTGGGAGTACCATTCCATCTCCCGCACTCAGGATACCAGGCTGGGCACAGGCCAGGAAAGCCTGGGAGGGCCAGGACTGTCGGGAAACACGTTTCCCGGCCCAGGGCCATAAACTGGTTACCGAGCCCTGACTCCTCAGCCCAGGGCCTGACCTTTGGGCCCAACATCTCCACATTCCAGGAACCATGAGATTAGGGGAAACTGCACCCGGAGCGACAGCCTGGAGGTGGGGAACAGCCCTGCTGCAGGGAAAGTGCTTTTGGGAGTGGGTGGGGGGATGGGGGTGCAGGCCTGGGTGC